CATTTCTGTATGGATTTTTACTGGAAAAACGTTGGTAAAAAGAGCAAAAAATGTAAATGTTCAGTTTCTAAGGACTCTCAAGCTATGGAAGTCACCAAAGTTTGCGGCCATTTTCTCGCTAATTTAACCCTGAAACCAGATCTCCTACAATTGCAAATACATGTACATGTTTCTCTTGACTCCTGTCAAGATATATGGGTATCTTTTTTCTTAGAAAGAAAGAAGGCAAATGGACACGCTCTAAGAGGATACCAGTAACTCAACGTGCTAAAGAAATTGACTAGCTCCTGATTTGACCGCTTCGTCTCACAATAAATACGACATGGTGATCTTGTCACTTACCTAACCACGTAGTTGATGGCTAATATGCTCTGGTCATCTCCCGCCTTGCTGTGCAGTAGCGTTGTGGCACAGGTTTGGACCCAAACAAAGCCCCCCTGGCGGTTAATGATGCGATAGTAGTCCGTGAGGGCCTGACCTTTGCTCAAAACTGGAAAAAACCCGCACAAATCAATAGCGATTAGGTCAAACACTCACAAAGTACATGTATCGGGTGCCTGAAGAAAGAGGACCTATTTAAACGGCAACAGCTTGCTTATTTAAAAAAAAACCCAACCAATTCAATAAAATCTTCGCACACACAAAATTCAACAATGGGGATGTTACATTTACCAGTCTATGAAAAAATATTAATATATTTGTTCGTAAAATATCCAATCTTAAAAATTTCAACCAAAATTGAAATGCAGAACTTTGTAACTTCTTAAAAATCAACCATATTATTCTAGTTTAAATAGATCTAATCACTTTTGCGCATTGAAGAACAAAATAATACAAAATTGATATTGCTAAATAAACTACAGGAAGGTGTCGGCTTTCTAAATCTCCAGGTGTAGGCCATATTTTCTTTCCACACAAACTACAATACGCCACTGGGAATTTTAAATAACCCTGTGGCATGTTTCTGGGTTGATTCTTTGCGAGTCCAGTTCAACATTGAGTTTCAACTGTTCGATTTGTTTGTGGGTTGCTTCCCTAAACTCTGTCAAAAACCCTCAAAAGTAATAATCGAAAGGGCTAAAGTTGGGGGGACCGTGGTAACCATTCATTTGTAAATTTGTGCATTGTTCAAACCTTTTTTGCAACTATATCAGGGCTACTCTTGATGTGTGGTTGTGGCCCCATCCCACTGAAACCAGGCCTGCATAGCATAACACATTCTCCTCAAACTTCTACCAACCTTTCTAGGCATATTTAAATACATGTATCTATCTGAGGTGACTTGTCTATTTTCACGGTTAAAAAAATGAAACAGTTCAGTGCGTAAATGTGAATGTTCTTCAAAAGAGAAGCCAATTATTCAAAATAGCATTATGTTGCTAAACAATAGCCCAACACCCATCAACCCATAAAGAAAGAGTGAAGAGGTTAGAAAGGGAGAAGAAAGGGGAAATAAATACAGTTTGTGAAAGAGAGAGGGGGGGAAGAGAGAGAGAGAGAGAGAGAGA